ATATTCTGGAAGATCGTATTTTTCAAAGACGTTTTCTTCTACTAGTTTGTTTGCAACCTTAATTCTAATGTCTTGCTTTCTCTGAGAGGATTTAACATCTAACCCAAAATGCAAACCTAATGCGATCAAGTCATCCTTTTTTAACGTATCAAAAACCTGAACACTTGGTGAACTAAGAAAGTCTGTGACCGAAAACACCATGTTGATTTCTGCTGGCTTATAATTAAATTTAACGGTTCAATAAACAAAATTCTGACAATAAACGGCAAAAGTGCAAGAAATTCTTTATCCCGGACGAGCCCCCAATTCTGTTATGGGTCAGAATTACCCGAAATGCCAGCAAAGATCAATCATACAGTTTAAACTTAACAATAATTTATTTACAGTAATATACAAATCATTAAGTACAAACTTAGCAAAAATCTAAAAATACATACATCAGAGTGTCCGTTGCTGCACACAATGTCCCAGTGAAATTATATCCTAGTAATACCTCAATGATGCTTATACGGCAATTCTCTATGCATCGAATTGACAGGGTATTTATACAGTAATATAAATCTAGAATATTCTAGAAATTGTAAATACATGATATTCCTGGAAAGTTCTGGACATAATCAAAGTTCAAGAATGTTCTAGAAAAAATGACCAAACATATTGACCACTCTGGAATGTTCAAGAAACTTTATGTTACTAATAATATACAAGATAAAACAATACAAATACAACACATCTCACAACAATATATGTATTACAATTGAAATCTATCATATTGTATTTATAAATATACATGTATTTGCCATATCCAATCAAAAGACGGAATGTGGAATTCAGCTTCTTACTATATGTATCACGTAAAAACCTGCTCGTGTAATCATCAAAAACTTCGGTACTTATCATTATTTATTTTATCGGTGAAACATAACAAGGGAGAAAGAATGATAGTTGTATGCTATTGATATATTTGTTGAATACTACAGTATAGTGATTTATACATTTTATCATAATCATGACCATCGTCACAGTAACTATCAAACACAAAATAAAACCTCTAAAAAGCGATTCAATCAATCGTCTGGAACTTCAACCGAATTCGATTGAGGAAATATCCTGTAAAATTGTATTTCCTCGTCAGTCCTGAGTGCCACTTTTAATAATTCAAGTACTTCTCGAGTTGGTTGTAGTGAATTATTTTAATTTGCTTTTTAGACTTTCACATGTACAATTTCAGAGGTACAGATAATTTATCCAAAAAGAATTTGTACATTCATCAGTATTTATTTTTACAACAAGTATGATAACTATTTTAGTCATCAAAACAATATCTAAAAATAAAAGCTCACTCAATATTTAATATGAATACTTTGTTCATTTTTCATTATACAATTACTTTTTCTTCATATAACAAAGGATCCGGCTTTAATTTCAACAATGTATTCAAAAATGTTAACCCGAGGGTGTATACATTTTATGTTTTGTTTATTTGTTGAATATTGAAAGGAAACTCAAATCAAAAGGTTGGATAAATTGAAGTGATGTTTTAAGTTTTCTTTTGTAATATCCAACAGCGATATACATTTTTATATCAAGTCATTTACATTAACAATTTCCATTGTAATTTGAAATATTGTCAGTGTATTATTTAAGTGTATAGCTTTCTCAATACATAATTTCCTTCAATGTTTGCTGTTTAAAATGACGGAAAAAAGGAAGCCTCCCACCAAGGGAGAACCTTGATACTAAATTTGGACGACCTTTCCTTTTACTTCCGTGTTATTTGGTTTATCTTAACCATTCCTTTAATGACTTATCTCTTTTTGCCACTCAGGATATACAGCATATTTTGTAGACAACTTCAGTCATATATAAATAATGGTAAGAATAAACGTTCAATTCCACTACAATTATGGCGAACAAAATCACCATTTTATTGTTTTGTCTAATTGGTTATGTATATTCAGGTAGGCAATAAGGTGCACTTTGTTTAAAAATTTATAATCTTATCAAATCAAGATATATGGTTATTGGAATGATGTATATCAATGTTGATTGCAGATACATGCAGAGACAACTTTAAATCATGTAAGATTTATGAGAAAACAGCGTGTGGAATTCCTGCTTACTTTACTTGGATGTTCCGTAACTGTGCGCTGACCTGTGGGTTTTGTCGTATGTATACAACTTATTTGACAAAAAGTTTGATAAGCTCTATGGTCGATGCAATGACCTGTCAGCAAATATTATTTTTCATCAAGTCAAATGCTGTCTGACGTTTTTAATACTTATTGTTAGACCATTATTTACACACATTGACATTTGCCGATCTTGACAAGGGGCACACGGCGGATGAAACCGGTCGTCAGGGGATGTTCACTTCTCCATCGAACCTGATCCTGCCTCTGTTGTTTTGGAGGTCGGTGTTTGCTCTGTTCCAAATTTAAATTGTGTAATGGACTTTTGAGCTTGAATACTGTTCGATATCTCCATTTATTTCATATTA